AGGATCGGGGACAACTGGACCTTCAGTTGAAGGGTCAGGGACAACTGGGCTGTCAGCTGAGGGGTCGAAGCCAACTGGACCATCATCTGGAGTGACAGAGTCACCTGGATCTTCACCTGGAGGGTCAGGAACAACTGGGCCAACAGCTGGAGTCACAGTGGCACCAGGACCAGCCACTGGAGGATCAGGGACCACAGGGCCATCAGCTGAAGCTTCAGGGACAACGGGACTGTCCACTGGGGTGTCAGGCTCTACTGGGCCTGCCGCTGGAGGATCGGGGACGACTGGAACGTCATCTGCAGCACCAGGGCCAAGTGCACCATCCCCAGGAGTGTCAGGAACAACGGGACCGTCAGCTGAAGGATCGGCGACACCCGGACCATCAACCGGAGTACCAGGAACCGCTGGGCCATCTGTTGTAGTGTCAGGGACAACTGGACCCTCAGCTGGAGGGTCAGGGACCACAGCACCATCAGCTGAAGAACGAGGGACAACTGGACAGTCAGCCAGAGTATCAGGTTCCACGGGACCGTCTGTTCCAGGATCAGGGACCACTGTCCCATCGGTGCTGGGATCAGGGACAACCGGTCCATCTGTTGGAGGGTCAGGGACAACTGGACAGTCAGATCGAAGATCAGGCACAACTGGATCATCAAGTGGTATCTCAGAATTAACGAGCCCATCAGCTGCCTTTTCAGGCACAAGTGGACCATCACCTGGAGTGTCAGGTACCACTGGATCATATGTTGTAGCTTCATGGTCCATTGCACCATCGTCTGTATCTTCAGGTACAAGTGCACCCTCAACTCATGGATCAGGGACAATTCAATCATCATCTGAAGGATCAGGAACAACTGGATTGTCACGTGGGATAACCACTGGGGCAGGAAGAACAACTGAGGAGCCAGAACGTGAGGTTACCAGTACTGAAGGCAAGTACAGCCAGCTGACGGTGGACAGTTTCGTATAGGCAATTTCAATTTTGGTCAGATTCTTACTTTTGGAATATTTAAATTTGTCGGAATTTGGGTATTTAGAGCTGAAATTGTTGAATAAAGATCAGAGCTTTGTGGAAGACCATTGTTTTAAATTGATTCCTCAGACTTCTTGAGAAGTTTATGTTTTCATCTCTGATGCTTTGCTGTTTTGACCAGGTACAACTGGATGGTCAGTGGGAGCTACCACAGGTGCAGGCTGGGGAAGCACAGCTGGAGCTTCAGCTTCGGGCCTCACCACTGCTGGGAACCAAGCAGGCAAGGCTCACCTGGGTGTTTTGTTGGTGGTCCAACACAAGCCTAGCTGAGACCCAAATTACCATCCTAAATTCGAGCTAATTTACCCAAGAACCAAATTTTCAGAGAAGTGATTAAGAGTTGTTCTAGGTTTATTATTAACATCTAAATTTGAAATTTACTTAAATGGTAGTAAGTTTATTATTTTTAGTAAAACGAACCATGTAAAGATGATGATTATTCCTATAACCAGGCACAACTGAAGAACAATATGGAGAAACCACTGAAACAAGTGAAAACACGACTAGATTAATCACACCTGGAAAATCAGGTGAGTGGGAAAGGAAACTATTGGCCCAGGTTGTAGCTCAATGTAAGGTTTGCTGATAAATCTAATGAGAGATATTAGTGTATTGTAAGTATAGAAATCAGAAAATCAGATCCAAGTTATCTGGTATCTAGAACCTATTTTGTTTTTTCACACCAGGTACTGGAGCTGTAACACCTGGACTCAAAGTCCTTACATAGTTCAATATCCAGGTAGTTTCCCAATAAAATAAGAACACTGCTGATGACTTTCCGCTTTTAATCTCAGGTTCCACAGAAGCCATCCCTGGCTCAACAATTGCAGCAGGAAATTTCACTACTGGTAAGTAAGCTGGGAATGTCAGATGTATTTTTTGACTTGTTTTCATGCTAATTGGCTAATTAAAAATAGTAAAATAATAAATAATGCCAGTTAAATAATTACAATGTCCTTAAATATATTATCATTTAACTATTTGAATAAGTATTGTTATCTCATTTTACTCGTGAGGAGCTTAGAAAAGACAGTACCTAAGTTGGTCCAGGTTCTACAGCAAATCAAATAGTGGAACCAATATTTTTATCATTGTTTACTTATTCGTTGTTGTTGTTGTTTTACATTTTCTAAGTTCAAGACTCTAGTCTTTAATTAAATGGAACCAAACTAGAATTATATATGGGTAAATATATTACTTGGGAAAAAGGCAATGGTTTTGCTTTCAGTTTGATCATTTGTAACTTATAGGTGATTTCATAGAAGAACACTTTATGATTTCTCTCCCAAGAGGTCTCTCACCCTGACTTCAATTTCTAAGATAAGCCTCTATGGAAATAACAGACTTCTGTTTTTTTAACAAAAATTTTACATGTCATGGCAGTTGAAACACTGAAGTGAATTTTTAAAATAAAATTGAAGTATGTTCTTTAATTGAAACGTGAATTTAATCTTTCCTTTATTAGTCTCAGTTAAAAGAATTCTACCAGTACTAATTGTAGGTAAGTTGAAATTAAAATGACAAAAATATGCTTCTGCATAATGTGGCTTGAGGTAGTATTTCTGTCTTTTCCACTTGAGCACTGAAAAATATCTAAGGGACTGTGATATTCTTCTCAAATTATAATCTAATACAAATTAATCTTTATGAATTGAGATAAAAAATGTATGTTTATAAATATATTTGTATTTTTAAATTTTAGAGCCCCAGAAAAAGCCTGAAGTAACAGGTGAGAAAATATGAGATTATAAATGTGCATTTGAAAAAAATGGTGTTACGGTAACTGAAATAGAAAATATGATAGCAGAAGTCTTAATTTATCAGATTAATAAAGCATGAACTTCAAATTAGATTTTGGTAGTACAGGGCTTTTTCTTTTTCTATTCTTATGCCTTCTTAAATCACAACAAATGTGTACTGAATCCCTTACATAATAGCTAAATTCTACACTGATTGTGTATAAATGTACAAAATCAATGAAATAAATAAACAAAAAGAACTTTTGAAATAGCTCCCTTATTTTAAAAAAGGCAATACCATATTTCTCAACATATTAGTGTTATTTGTCACCTACCATTTCCATGAAAATTTTTAGCTTTTATTGCATCCTGGTGTCTCTTTTTAAACTTAACAGTTTTAAAAGATAAGCAAAAGAAGTTTATCCTTTAAAATATCTCACTTTTTCATAATTGTTCCCCTCGTACATTCTTTTAGCATTTACATTTGAATATAAGCCCCATGAAGACAGACATTTTTGCCTTATTTTGTTCACTGATATAAAATCCCTTTCCGGTCCTTATCTGATGGGGTGATTGATTTCGATACTTGTCCACCTGATCCACTAGCTTCTACCTTTGTTGAATGGAGACCATTCAACAACATTGATGGTATTATGCAAAGTGAAATAAGTCAGAGGGAGAAGGTCAAATACCGTATGATCTCCCTCATTAAGTAGTAGATAATAACAACAACAAACAAACACATAGAGACAGAGATTGGATTGGTGGTTACCAGAGGGGAAGTGGGGGAGGGAGGAGGGTGAAAGGGATAATTCGGCACATGTGTGTGGTGATGGGTTGTAATTAGTATTTGGGTGGTGAACATGATGTAATCTATGCAGAAATAGAAGTATAATGATGTACACCTGAAATTTATACAATGTTATAAACCAATGTTACTGCAATAAACAAACAAACAAACAAACAAAAGCATGCATCACTCAGTGCATACTACCAGAGAGCTGAGAGATCCATTAAAACAGGCATTTCCAACACAGGTAGAATTGAAATAATAAGAAAACCATCTCTATGGACACTCAGGACATGAGGCTTTTTGTGGGGTTGCTGTGATAAAATAATACAACATACGTACCTCTTTCTAGCATCCCAAATGCCCAGCAATTACTGTTCTGCTATTTCCTCCCTTAGCGGCCGTAACTTCTGCAGAAGTCACTGGCACCACTGGAGGTGGATTCAGAGGAGGTGAGAAGGAGCAACTCCTATCTTCTTGTTATCACTAATTATGACGCTCATAGGAGAGCCTAAAGAGAAAAAGTTTCCGGAAAATGGTTCATATTTACTTTACTAATACTGCATTTTTGGCCAACTAATTCTTTTTCAGTTTTGTAACTTTTTCCTGAAAAGCTGCTAATAACAAAGTCCAGAATCATAGACGTAATGCCTGAAGATGGGATGACTGTACTAATTGTTCTGAGTCATTTCTCTCGTGAAATTACAAACGTGATAAGCTTTCGAAGAGGGAAGGGCAAGAAAACTTTCTATTCCCCAGAAATAGAGAAGAGAAATAGGGAAACATGTCTGCCCTATATAGATGTTTGCTTTTCACAAGAAAGCAATGAAGAGCGTGGTATTTTCCCAATGTCTGAAGGTCTCAGCACACCCATAACTTCTTCTGTTTCCACTCCACAGCAGGTAGCTCTGTAGCGTCAGAAAGCCAAGTCACTGGGAGTAAAACAGGTGAGTGTGGCAGAAACCCACCGTTTCCCTGACACAGAATGCCAGGTTGAGTTATCTCAGGTTGGGAACATGGAGACTCTGATTGCTTTGGTACTAAAATGGTTAACAAGAAAATACACAGGGCTCACCGTCAGAGGAGAACTAGAGAGCGAGCCAGTTAGATATGATGAAGATATACTAATGTTCTTTTTAGAGGCATGTTTTTAGGCAAGAAACACGAGCACCATGGTGACCATAGTTCCTTTTGTGTTTCAGGCACCACTGGAGTAGTCCCCAGCACAACTGTTGCCCCTGGCAGTTCCAACACAGGTATATCAACAGGTTGACATAGAATCTTCCACATGTCCTCCCACAAATTAGATGTCTCCTCTGGTATTATCCTTTGCAGGAGTACCATCATATCTTTTCCGTGATCCTGAAATAGTCTCCAATTATCTTTCCTCTTCTTTCCCTCAGACGCCACAACTTTCCTAGGAGGAAGTGAAACAACCAGAGTTGAAATAGCCACAGGTGAGCGCTGCTAAGCTATTGCCTGCACTTCATAATAACTTTTTAAAACAGTCTCCTGAAAATATATCTGCACTATTTACATATGTTATATTGAGCAAATTCAGGAAAAAAGTCAACACGATTATTACATTGTCTCCTTATTACCTGAGCCTACAAGAGCCTTCACTAGACCATCCTGAAGTCAAACTAATGACAGATAAATAGGTAATGTGGAGAGAAATTTCCTATCTCCCCTCCGAAGAAAGGGACGTGATAGTTGAGAATTTTCTCAGTAAAGTAGTTGTAGAAAGAAATGTTATATGGGGCACATATGGATTACTTCTTGGCACTAAAAGTCTCAGGGTTATAGTTTGCTGCTACTTGGAGACTTTAGAGTCCTATTTAAATCAATGCCGGACAAGCAGTTGAACTGGTGACCACACCCCCTTTCTTTTTTTTTTTTTTTTTTTTTTTTTTTTTTTTCCCCCCAAAGCCCCAGTAGATAGTTGCATGTCATAGGTTCACATCCTTCTAGTTGCTGTACGTGGGACTCGGCCTCGCGTTGGACGGAGAAGTGGTGCCTCGGGGCGTGCCCGGGATCCGAACCCGGGCCGCCAGCATCAGAGCACGCGCACTTAACCGCTAAGCCACGGAGCCGGCCCACCCCCTTTCTTTTTTTTAGGTACTACTGGTATAGTCTCTGGAAAAACTCTGGAGCCTGGAAATTATAACACAGGTAAGTCTGAAAATACATGCAAAATCTAGACACTGGCACCTTGGATGATGTATTCTGACAATAGCACAGTGTGCACTTTCCCACACCCTAGTCTTTACTCCTTCCTTTGTTTTCTCTATCAGAGGCCACAATTTCCACTGGAGGAAGTGGGACCACCCAAGTGGAACTTCTAAGAGGTGAGTTTTTTTTAGTCTGAGGCTGTGGGGTTTTATCAAATCTCCGTGTAGTTACCATGAACACATAAGTGTGAAGGTGGGCCAAGGAAAGGGGCCTGCATTTCCTCTGGAAACATAATATGTCAGAATCACAAAGCTGAGTCTGCCTCCGAATTCCATGGCCTCAGATGTTACCATCTGGATTTCCAGAGGCCCAGGTTTGCAGAGCTAGTTGTTGGATGACAGGGATGAAGGCAACCTGCTGGCCAGCTCCTGCCTACCAAGGCCCCAATCCTTTTATATGGTTCGCCATCCTCCCATAGCTCTAACATCTATCCCACTGATTATTTATTGTGTTTCTTATTCACTGCTGGTCTCCAGCTGCTAGAATGTAAGCTGCATTAGGGGAGGAATCTTTGAATATTCTGCTCCCTGATACATCCAAAGGCCTAAAACAATATTGCACTGAAGAAATGCTTAATAAATATTAGTGGAATGATGAAATGCTTACTTATTTTGAAGCTTCACTGTATTTGCTTTAATAGGTACCACTGTGATTTCCCCTAGAGCCAGTAGCAGTTCACAGAGTTCCAAGCCAGGTAGGATGGACTAAATAAATTCACCACATGAGAATGTTAGGCTCAAGGAGTTCTATTTTAAACATCTGAATATCAAAATACCTCAAGTAATTGATGAGTAAAATTTAGAAAGATAAATCCATCATCTGTCTTTTTGCTCTTTTAGGCACCTCTGTTGCACCAGGGAGCCCAGGGTCTGGAAGTGAATCAGGTGAGGGTGACAGAAGGTCTCCTTCCACTTTAAGTGAGATCTGTGGAAAGGGAACTCTAGTAACAACAATGATCAACAGGTGGGTCAGGAAAGGAAATTGTGGGAAGTCGTTGACGGTTTATTTTCTTCAGAAACAGAGATCCTCAGGAAAGGTTTTCCAGTGGTTCAATGCCACATAGCTACTTTCGTATTAAAGGGGAAACTAATGCTGTATTGATCCCTTTATTTTTCTCATTTTTAGGTACTACAGGAGAATTCTCTAGGACAACCATTATCTTTGGGAGTTCCTACACAGGTAGGTTGACAAGAAGGAAATCTCCGTATTTAACCTCATAATATAATTAGTAGACCTGCTCTGATAAAAGATCGACATAATTCTTTCCCTTAAATCCCAAATCCTGAGACCTCACCATTCATCACTTTCTTCCCTCAGAGGCCACAACTTTAACCAAAGGCAGTGGCACTCCTGGAACTGGATCCAGACCCGGTGAGAATGAGTACCTCACAGTTGGGGTTTAGCATGAATTATGACTCTCCATACGCTCACCTGTTGGGACCGTGTGCTTTCCTGCAGAGTGGCTCCCATTTGCTTTCAATACTTTCTGAGATTTAACATGATTATGGAAGAGCTCTCAACACCAGGGTCTAGCCTCACAGCTATAACTTTCTAAAGAAGGACTGGTGGTGTAACTGGTGGGAGAGGTTTCTCCTGTGATGGCATACACATCACTAAGATCTCAGGGGAGCTGAGGAATATTCTATATCTGGGAAGAAGAGAAAGGCCTTAAACAGGCCTATCTTATATAAAGGTTTTGTTGCTCAAAAAAGCAATGATGATATTCAATATTTTCCTTGTCACATTCAAATATGTTTCTGATTTTCATCCCATGGTAGGCACCACTGCAGTACCAGGAGGCCAAGCAACTGGGAGTGTGACAGGTAAGCCTGGGAGAAAGCCACCAACTTTCTCTATCTTAGAATGGATGAAATGTTTGGAAAGGGTGCCTCAACTTGGGAACATTACTGTTTTTATTGCTTTCTTAATGATATGGGTCTTAGGAAAGGCATATGATTCTCACCTTATCAGGAAGTAGTGAAAGGGCCCTTTGACATAACAAAGATACACTTAGATTCCTTCTAGAGGCAGGTCTTCAGGAGACAAACACGAGTCACTGTAATGACTTCAGACCCTTTGTGTTTCAGGCACCGCTGGGGTAACCCCCAGTACGACTGTTGCCCCTAGCAGTTTCAACACAGGTGAGTCAGCAAGATGGCAGAGCATCTTCAATGAGTCTATCTATGATGAGATTCCTCTTCCAGTGTTATCCTGTGTAGGAGAACTACCATACCTACTCCATGGTCCTTAAATAGTTGCCAACCATCTCTATTCTGTTTTCCTCTCTCTCAGAGGCTACAACTTCTGTAGGAGAAAGTGGAACAAGAAGAATTGGAATAACCACAGGTGAGCTCTGTTAAGGCACTAATTGTACTTTCTAATAACTTCCCAATAAAAAGTCTTTTCTGAAATATATCAAAACGCTTTGAGTTTCCCATATTCAGCTTACTGGACAAAAATTTAGCACATGTTCAGTATTTGACATCAGTAATCAGTTCAGACACTTCAACTTTTCCTCCTTGTCTTGTGCTCTAAGGAGCCTTCATCAGAGCATCATGAGGCCCATGCCCTGATAGTTATATAGGTAATTTGGGTCCAAATCGATCTCCGTCTAACTAAACTCTAAAAAGGGGACTCAGTGGTGGAGGACTTTCTCTGCAAATTTGCGGAGGGAATGAATGATTCATGGGAAATATATGGATGGACTCTTGAAACTAGAAAGTCCAGAGAAATAAATTTACTGGTATATGGGAGACACCAAGGTGTTTTTTTTTTTTTAATTTTCCTTGAAGATCTCATGCCCATTTCACGATGGGCAACAAATTGACCAAATGACCACAGTTCTTTTCTTATTTCAGGCACAACCGAGGGCATCTCTGGCAAAGCTCTGAAACCTGGGAGTGCCAACACAGGTTAGGAATCCTGAATGTGGTCCCTCAGGAGATAGAGCCTACGGGAGCCCCAGAATATCCTGTCCACATCCCCTCTGTACTCTTGTTTTTTTTTCTCTCAGAAGCCACAACTTCCACAAGAGGCAGCAGGACCACCCAAGGAGGATTGCCAGGAGGTGAGCTTTTCAGTCCAAGGTCTAGGGCTCGCATCATTTCTCTGAGTTATTGCAGCGAACAAACGAATGGGAAGGAGTGTCAGGGAGGGACCTTCATTTTCGCTGTGGCCATATTGTCTGATAGCCTGGGTAATTATTCTGCTTGGGAATTCCAAGACCTCAGCTCTCTCCGCCAGGCTGTCCTCAGTGTTGTGGCTTTCAGAGATTTTCTTTTTTTTTTTCCTGAAAAAAGATATGAATGTATATTGCATAAAATTAAATTGCATAAAAATTATATTGCGTATATCCCAACCCCCAGTACTTCCAATCTTCCTTACTCAGCTTACCTTCCCCCCATAGCTTGCCACTTTTTATCGTCTCTCTCATTTATTTATACATGATGTTTATTGTTTGTTTTCTGTGTTTATTATTTATATCTCCCATTATTAGAAAGCTACATGAAGGCAACTGATTTTCAAAATGTTGCCTTCATTAAAAAGTATTACTTATAAAGATTAAAACTATGTTTTATTTCAAAAAGTTATACTTTTATTACTTATATCAAAGTTATATCAAAAAGTATTACTTATAAAGATTAAAACTATGTTGTATTTCCTTGTAGGCACCTCTGGCACACTAGGGGGTTATGTCCTTGGAAATGAAACGGGTCTGGGTCATTGAAAGCCCTGCTTTCCTCTTACCACATAGTGAAAGGGAAACCCAGCGGTAACGCATCCATTCCAGGCTGACCTGGGAAATAAGATGCTATGAAGTTGTTCATTTTCCATTTTCTTCAGAGATTGAGTGTTTTCAGGAAAGGGCGTCCAGGGCTTTCAGGCCCCATTGATGCTTCCAAGGTGAACTGGGAAGGAAAAGCTCTATTGCTCTATTTACTTTTTACATTTTAGGTACCACTGGAGAGTTCTATGCAACAACCATTTCATCTGTCAGTTCCAGTGCGAGTAAGTTAACAAGAAGGAATTCCCCTTATTTAATCTCAGATGTCATGATCTCTGTTTGGGGGTTGCTAATAAAATAATGCCCTAATATCTCTTCCTAGTATTCCAAATTCCCAGACTCCATCATTCTCTTATTTCTTCTCTCAGAGGCCACAACTTCCACAAAAGAGACTGGAACTGGAGCCCAAACAGGTGAGAATGAAGAGCCTAAGGTTTGGAGTCATCAGGTTTAGGACTCTCTAGGTTTTCCTTGAGAGAGTGTGCATTTAATTTAGGGACACTGCAAGTGAGTCAAAATAGGCTTGCTTATTAGAGACAAAATCTTTCTGAAAATCGACTAAATTCCAGAATTGAGCTTCACCGCTCCAAGTCTGAAGATGGATTGGGATTTCTCCATTGCTGTTACAAATATCACCAGTATATTAGCTGGAATCCAGAAAGTTTTCCTTTTTTGTGAGTTCCTTCTAGCAATTCCAATTGGCTGAGATGCAGAGTGATTTCTGCCTTATGGAAATCTTTGTCTGAGCCTCCAAATTCCAGACTATTAATGCTTAACCCAAGTTCTTAAGTTTACGTACAGCGGAATATTCTCTCTCTCTCTTTTCTCCTCTTCAGAAGCCCAGACCACTGTACTGGGGAGCCAGGTCTCTGGCAGTCAAACAGGTGAGCACAAGAAAATATAAACATTTCCCTGATATTTGCCAGTATTCAGAGTAAGGAGACTCCTAATGTAGAAATATAGTCTTACTTCTTTTTTTTTTTTTTTTTGAAAGAAATGTACTTGTGGAATGATATTCTAGGGTTCCTCATATAGGCCTTCTATGACTTAAAAGAAACTTATAATGTTTTTCTTCTTAACCATTCTTTTAACGTAAAGAAATTACATATCAATCCCTTCCCTTTTGTGATTCCAGGTACCAGTGGAGTAGTCTCTGGCGCAACTATTGCACCTGGAAGTTCTAACACTGGTAAGTGAATATATTCAAAGGCAGTCATCCCTTGTCTAACCTCAAGGAGATATATGTATCCCCAGACATACTTTCCACTTTCTTCATTTCCTCTTCCAGAGGCCAAAGCTTCCTTAGAAAGCATCAGATCTACTGTGATGAAATCAGTGAGAACTAGGAGTCCCAGCTGTTAGCATTGCCATTGAGTACCACCATGAGTTTGCTTCTGGATCAGAAAGATTGTTGCAGAAGGACAGGTCCTTTAGCCCATACTCCGCACCAACCATGTTGTTGATTCACACCCCTAGGCTGGTTTCTGGACCAGTCTTTTCCAATGCCTGGTCTTGTGGTATAGATTTATGAAGAGGGTGGTAGGAGTAGTAATTCCCTGGAATATTAACCCACTGGATACTATAGATGTTACTGCAGAATCAGTAGGAATCAATAGTGTCCTAGAAGGTTCTGTCTCATGTGAGTAGATGACTAAAATGGACTTAGAAATTTTTTGCCTCCCATTTGACGTTTTGTGTGTGAGTGAGGATGATTAGCCCTGAGCTAACATCCATTGTCAATCCTCCTTTTTTTGCTGAGGAAGACTGGCTCTGGGCTAACATCCATGCCCATCTTCCTCTACTTTATATGAGACGCCGCCACAGCATGGCTTGACAAGCGTGCGTCAGTGTGTGCCCGGGATCCGAACCTGCGAACCTGGGGACGCGGAAGCGGAGTGCGTGCACTTAACCCCTATGCCACCGGGCCAGCCTCCTGCATTTGACTTTTTATCTTGAGCTTTAAATTCCAGTTTGCTTAATGGTTGCCTCAGAGATTGATTAATGGCCATAACATACTCAGTATCTTTTTCCTGCTTTCCACCATCAGGAACTACCTCTGGAGTATCAGACCATCGAGTCACTGGAAGTAAAACAGGTAAATGTGATGAAAAATTCCTCTGCTCCCAGTTGAAGATTTTACATTATATTTGCTAAGTAAGCCTACTAGAAGACAGGCTTCTTGAGAAAAAAAAGTCATTTATTTTATTCGCTGATGAATCACTAGTACTCAACAAGACTCAATAAATGTATTGAATGAATGAAATAATTGATACAGGGGAAAAATACATGATTAAATCTGGGAGCAGAAAGGCCAGTGAAAGCACATGTTCATAGGGACATATGGACAAAATAGTTTCTGTGAATGGTGCCTCCAGGAGCTGTCCATGCACAGTACACCACTGAAAGATGTGGCCCTGGAACTATACATTTATTTTATATTCAGATTGCCTCAGTGCAGAAGATTCTCCATGATGGTCGCATGGCCTTCTTGTTTCAGGTACCACTGGTGTAGCTTCAAGTACAACTGTTGCACCTGGAAGTTCCAGTACAGGTAGGCTAACAAGCTGGGAAGAAAGCATTCTTCCAGGAAATAAGGTGACAAAAATGTCTTTCACATTGATCTTTTCGTGTAAGAACATCACAATATATTTTCCCTTCTTCCTAAATCCCCATCCTTTATCTATTTCTTCTTTTATCCTTCCAGAAGACACAACTTCCACAGGAATTAATAGAACTACTATAGTGGGATGGAAAACAATTGAGGATTAGTGTGGAGTGTGTGTGTGTGACTTTTGCTGATAAATGACTTTCGTTTCTTAGTAGGATAGTTTCTTGGGGAAGAGCTTTTTAGGAACTCTTATCTAAGATCAACAATGTTTTCTTTTCTTACTTGATTTTGAGTGAATTTGGGCAGAATTTTGAAGTCCTTCCATTTCCCTAGTCCAGCTTCGCATATGTAGATTCATGCAAATGAGAATGGAAGTGATAATTGGCTAGAAAGTTTTCTCTTTCCATTTGTCATTTTATGGAAATGATGATGGAAAGATGGTCCCAGAGGGTTCTATTTCAGGTAAACAGAAGGCCACAATCAACACAGAAAATTTATTTCACTTCATCTGATTCTTCCTTGAGTACAAAAGTGATTGAAATGTGCAGTGGTTATCCCAATAACTTGTTTATCTTTATGCTCAAAAGTTTTCCTATTTTCATCCTCTTAGGAGCTACCACTGCAGTATCAGTAAATGAAGGAGCTGGGAGCACATTAGGTAACTATGGTGGGAAGGGGGCCAGAAGAACAAGGGGAAGAGTATGAATAACCCTTGTCTTACTGCCATTAAATCCTGGAAAAGGGGGCTCCTAGGTTGAAGAATTTTGTCTCTATTTGATTTGGGAATAAAACTGTGCCTGAAAGAAGACAGATAATTCACCATAAGTTGAAAAAGCCCAAAAGATAAGCAGATTCCCCCTCATGAGAGGAAAAGTCACCACTTCCCTTCTTGTTGCAGGTACCACTAGGGTAGCTTTTGGCCCTACAGTTGAACCTGAGACTTCAAGCACAGGTAAGCCAGCCAGCTGGAGAGACTCTCCATAGGAAAACCTCTAGTAGTAAAGTCTCTCTCAGGGTGCTGTCATTGAGAAAATTACATCCTTAACTTTCTTCAGAATACCGAATCATCTTCACCTCACATTTTTCTACCTTTCTTCTCTCTTAGTAGCTACAGTGCTCTCTGGAGCCAGTAGAACCACAGGAAGGAATACAGGTGAGTTTACAAGCTTCCTAACCTCTTCACTTTTCAATGACAACAATAGCAATGATAACTAACACTTTCGAGCACTAATTATATGCCAGGCCCTATTCTATACCCTTCTCATTATTATTTCTTTTATCCCTCACTCCAAACTGTGAGGAAAGTACTATTGTTTTTACAGATGAGAAGACATATGGCTAGAGATGTTAATTAACTTGCTCAAGCTCACGCAGTGAATAAACAGCAGATTTGAACTTGAACAGTCTGACTCTAAAGTCCATCCTCTTAACCATGACACTGTACTACCACTATGCTATATCACTAGATTTCTTTGTTACATGTCTAAACGTTTCTAGAACACTAAAATTTCTGTGGCATCAATGCTTTACCCAAATGAAAATTCAACAGGCAATCAATCCTGCTTTGTTTCTTCTTCTGGGGGAATCTAGTAGCCAAGTCCCTGGCATTCAAACAGCTAAGGAAAGGAAAATACCTTTATCTCTCTGATGTTGATCCCAGAGAAAGGAATGTTATCATTGAGACTCCCCCCTACAAGCGCAAACTGCACCCTCCTCCCACAAATTTATATTGGGAATGAAACATTACATTAGAAAACACATAAAACAATCCTGGAACGAACTATCCCTGAAAATGGCATTTTCACATAATAAAAAAATTTATAGTTTCCCCATCCTAGTCTAGAGTATACTCTTCTTATTATAGGAATGAAATTAACATAATGATATCATTCAATTTTGCTTTCAGGAACTACTAGAGTGGCCCCTGGCAGTACCATCTCACCTGGAAGTTCCAACACAGGTGAATCAATGAGGAAATAGGGGCTATAATTTCTTTCTTGGGGCTAGATCTGAAGCATAGTACATGATACCTGTCTATGACTTTCCGTTAGCCCTTACTACTTTCCTTCTATTCCATCTCAGAAGCTACAACTTCCATAGAAGGACATATAACCAAGGAAAGTAGAATTGGCAACTCTTGAGTTCCTGCTAATTTATATTCTGCCTTTGCCTTTTCATGTGGACATTTGTTAAAGGAAGTCTATATTTATGAAAATCATATAATTTCTTCTGGGGGCAAACCTTATACTGTAGTTCTTAAGAGGAGACTCCAGAAAGGTTCCCCCTTTTTGATATTCAAGGTATTACCCTAGTCTCAGATGGAGGCAATATATGTCCATATAGTTCTATTTAGGGAAGCAGTGATGAAAATAACTCTGAAAGTTTTAGGTCTATCAAATTTTGGATTTTGGGTGTTATGAGTTTATTCACTGAATACAATGAAATACATTTACACAAATATTGTGTCTGTGTCTTGTCATTAGGAGCCACCACAGGCACATCTGGAAGGCCAAGCTCTGGAAGTGAAACAGGTAAACATGGGAAAGGCCCAGAGACCTTTAATATTTAATGCTAGGGAATCAAATCATCAAGGCTGGACCATGAGCCGATGTGTTTATTGTGGCCTTGAATTTAAAATGGAGAATGAACTTCATCTTGAAAGGATAGTCCTGAGAAGGGTCTTCTGCTGCTGTGGAGTGACAGACAGTCTTGTTGTTGGCCATGCTAGTCTCAGGATGGTAAATGCATCAGTGTTTGGATTCTCTCTTTCTCTATTCTACTTCAGGCAGCACTGGTGTAGTCTCTGGCACAACAGTTGCATCTGGAAGTTTCAACACAGGTAAATCAATAGCCTAACAGGGAATATAAGGAGCTTCAATAATGGGATATCCCCCTGCCTCCCTCCCTGTCAACCCCTCTGCCCAAACACACATTCCCTACCATACGCTGGGGATAGCTTTTCTCAATTATATAATTCTTCTGAATTTACTCTTTTTCTGCTTTCTTCCTTTCACTTAGGGGCCACAACTTCTTTGGAAAGTGGTGGAACCACTAAGGGTGGAATTAAAATAGGTGAGCACTAGCCGTCAAATAATTATTTGTCTCTTCATCTTAAAGTAAATCACCTTGGCTATAACAAACTTAGGGGAAATTTACTCAACCTAAATCTCTCTTTGAGTAAAAAATTGTTAGGATGTTAACACTTTACCTCATGTGAATTGTCCTTTACTTTGTATATTTGTAATAAAATGGGATAATTGAAACCATACGTGATATATCACTTAAGGCAAGAAAGTCCCTGATATAAACCTTTTAGTTTATACTTAAAGTTTATACTTATACTTAAAACTAAGTAAAAGGGAATTCATAAATTGATTCTCTCCTTTTGTGATTTCAGTTACCGCTGGAGTAACTACTGGCACAACCATCGCACCTGGGAGTTCCAAAACAAGTGAGTCATGAAAAAGTTGAAGATCTATAAGATCTTTAGAAACCTGATGTCTGCCATCAGAATATTACATCAAGTCATACTGTTACATATTTTTCCAAATTTCTGCATCCGATATCACTGTCTCCTATTTTTTCTCAGAGGCTACAACTTCTACGGAAATAAGAGCTACCACTGGAGTTAGAATAGCAACTGACGAGTGGTTTGCTTTCAGCCTTTTGGGTTCTCAATAATTTTCTGTTTGAGTTTGTGGTAGATTATGAATGAGTGAGAAGGTGGGCTGAGATAGGATTTTGTATTCCCTTCAAAGAGACAATATGTCAGGTCAATCAGATTTGGGTCTTTGCTCTTCAGACTGATTTTCTCCATACACCAGCCTTTTGGATGTGATTTTATGAAGCTAGGAATGATGTATTACTCTCAGTCCTTTATCCATCTTGCTTTTGCAAGTATTACTTCAGGGTCAACTGGAGTTTCCAGGGGCCCAGAAAATTCCAGTCCTGGTTAGTAGATATGCTTAATTCATCCATCTTGGGCTTCTCTTGCAGATAAAGCACATTTTCATGGGTTTATCCTCAAGACTAAGGTCCCAACAAATTAAAAATGTTTTTTTATTTACATCCCCCTTCCCCCCACACACACAACCAAGGAGTCCCCACTGAAGTACCAGGAAGCCAAGTCACAGGAAGTAAAACAAGTGAGCAGAGGAAAAACACTTTTTTCCAAAGCATTAAGCCGTAGAAAAAGGGCTCCAGCATTAGACTTTTGCCATACATTGGTTTGGAGAAATTAGAGTCTGTGGGAAAACATGGTATTTACTTCTCTTTGCATAGACAGAAGCCCTTTTATTGCTTTTAAGAAACATGTGAATTTATCCAGGTCCATGCTAGTCTCAAGGCAAAAAAAATTATTGCTATGATATCTTTCTCTCTCTCTCTCTCTCAATTGCACAATTTCTCTATCATTCTCTCTCAATCTTATTTTCATTTTCATTTCACATTCTACTGCTATAACTTCTTTTACCACACTTGTTCCTGGAAATTCCAACATGGGTTAGTCAAAGTTGCCACAGTGAGTTATCTATTGGTATCTCAGGCAAAAAGCCATCTTCTTTGGGAATATGTCTCCTACTATCACAATGCAAAACATTTTCCAGATTTCAAAATTGTTTAAAAGCACCTTAAATTTTTCTTTTTTACTCCCAGGGGCTACAACTTTGAGACTAAGTAATGACACCACTGGGAGTGGAATACAAACAGGTCAGTCATGGCATTGCAGAATTGTTGGGATTTCATTGATTACTAGCAGGATTTTGCTACTGACAGGAGATGAGAAAACTTTTCATTTGAAGACTCTTTTGAGCCAATTGGGGTTGGTCATCTTAATGCACTAGAATTTCCCGGACTAAAGATTTCATCAGATGCATCTTTATTAGGATATAACTTCCCAGCAGTAGATACCTTAATGGGGACAGGAGTCTTTTTTGATAAAATATTTTCTTACTTGTCTTCATAGGAACTACTCTCATATCAGGTGAAGTCACCAGTTACCAAGGAGTTTCCAACTCAGGTAAATGAAGATGACTGAAATAAACTTAGGGCATTTTTGGAGTCTCACATGAAGATTTTTTGTTTACTCAATGAAAATGATCAAGGAAAGAAATATTTTCTTTACTCTACTAAAAACAGTAGGGGCATGAAGTGGTTCAGGAAATAATAATAATCTAGTACGTTTGTGGAATACAACCTAGGTGTTGGGAGAACACTGCAAGAGTGGATGCTGGGAGGTTTTTTTGAGCTTCTAGATATTTCGTGACAGAAATTTCCGAAAATGAGGAAACAAAAGAGATCACTCATCAATTTTGTATTCCATAATGGCAATATTATAATATGGGGCTCAGTTATGACAAAAAAATTTAAAACATAATTCCATGGGCAATAAGGAGCAATTGAAAGATTTTTGGTAGATTGATTCTCATGCACAGATTTGCTTTTTTGGAAGATTAATGACATAAGTTAGAGGATTGATATGAAGGAGAGTAAGGGTGGAAGTGTGTGATCCAGTTTGAGACTGTTAGAATTGAGACATGAAATGAGGCAGTAATGTGGGGAAATATAGGGCAGAAGGAATGAGCAATGTGTTGACAATTTAGAATCAATTACAGTGTGGTGGGCAGTGGGGGATGAAGGAAGAAGTTTGGATGAGTTCTAGTTCATGGTTTGGGTGCTTGCATAGATTGATGACAGTGCCATCCACCAAATTTGGGAATATACTGGAGAAGGAAAAAAAATTGATAACTTATAAAAGATATAATGAGGTCAAATTTTGACAGTTTGAGTTTAAAATGCTCTGAGGTATTCAGGTAGTGTGCGCAGCAAGAATGAGAAGTGCAACTAGAGCACAGAAGAGAAGCCAGCACTGGAGACAGAGATTTGCCAATCATTCACTTACAAATGATATTTGAAACTATGGATGCGTGTGAGTTTATTTAGGGTGAACACATAGAGTGAGAAGAGAAGACAAAGAAATTAAAACATGATTCCTTGGGCTTTAAAGGGTTGATAAATGCAAAGGAGCCTGAAAAGGGGAGGAGTGTGGGTTTAGCAATTGCCAATATGGATTTGACTTTGCGTAAGACAGAGTGTTGGAGTACTGGGATGTGACCCAGGAGACAATGCTGCTTGTAATTTGGGGATTTAGAATCTCAGATCAAACCGGATCAACTAGAATTTGCAAGGGATGTATGTGTTTTTGAATGTTTCATTTTTCAGAGATCCCAGGCTTACAGTTATAAAACTTTGAAATTAGAAGGGAGAACTGTCTTGAAATAATTAATTAAAATTTCAGGATTCCTAATTCTTTCCATTTTTTAACCTTCAGGAGTCACCATCATAATTCCAGGGAGCCAATTTACTGGTAAAACAGGTAAGCATGAGGAAGTAAGAAAGGTGAGGATAGGAAGGCACTCATCTTCATAATATTAGTTTCATAAAGGACGGATCTCAGAAGACTGGAATTCACCACAGGGAATAAAACAGAGCAAGAAAAAAGATGTTTATTTCACCTTTTGGAGCAAGGGATCCTGGAGAAGGAATAATTCTTTCACAGAAACACATGGACTTGGCCTAAACCGTGATCTGTATCCAATAAGAAAGACATTGCTACACATTACCCTCTCTTTCTTCTCTCTCCCACCCCAGGTACTATTGGGATAGGCTCTGGTATTACATCCTCACCTGGAGATTTCAAAACAAGTAAGTCAAGTAGTTTAAGGAATTCTCCTTTAAGTGGCTCTAGGGACAATATCATACTCTGCCATATCATTTTCACATTTATAAACTCTCGATCTTCCTCCTTTGCTCTTACAAAAGCCACAGCTTTTAAAGAAGGTGTTGGAACAACCAAAGCAGGAATTTCATCAGGTGAGTTCTCCCGGATTTTGGATTTTCAATGATTCTTCCATTTGAGTTTTCTACATACAGATTATGAATGAAAATGAGCATGGCTGGAAAGGGGTTGCTTTTAATTTAATAGCAAATCATAAGGCCAACCTAGGTTAGCTCCTTGATTTTTCCTAGAGAACACACTACAGGTGTAATTCTCTAGATACATCCCTTTTTTTTTTTTTTTAAACTTTGCTCCTTTTTTGTTTCAGGCAATACCACAGGATCAGTGGGAGTCACCAGTAGCCAAGCAGGTGAGTAGAGATCACCACAATTTAGCAATTTTTCTTGGAACAAATGTTAAACCTGGCATGTCATGTTAAATTGTTTTCTCTTGCTTCAGAGAAATGGGTACACTTGCCAATACCACACTCTTCTTAGGTTGAAAAAGACTTTATGAGGCTCATCCTTCTCTCTTATTACAGGAACTAGTGGGGTAGCATCTGGCACAACAGCTATTGCTGGAAGTTCCAACACAAGTAAGTGAATATTTATTAAGTGGCTGTAAGTATCTAAGCCTAGAAAAATTAAGGCCCCTCTCTGGAATTCACTGTTGTAACATCAACACAGCAGTCCCAACCTCATTCTTGTTTGCCTTTCTTAGAGGCTACCACTGGAGTTGGAATGCAAACAAGCAAGCATCAGTGGTTCAAATCTGTTGTGTTCTCGTTAGTGACTCCTATGCCTTTGCTTCAACGTAGGGGAATGTTGAGGGTAAAGATAAAGGGCTAGAAAATAGGGCAGAATCTCATTAGAAATGTACTTTTCCAGCCGTCTCAGGTTGTCTTCTTGCTCTGAGTTCCTGGGCTCAGATCAGGGTCCCCAGGCAAGTTTGTACAGGTGCACAAGAGTCCCTGCTGAAGGACAGAGTAGAGGTTGAAATCCAGCCGGTATTCCTCCTACTGGGTGTAAATCCATGAGGCCTTATTTGTCCAGAGGAGTTGTTTTCTGTAATTCACAAAGGTACTCTATGGGCTAGCCGCAGCATTGGTCCAGACTTTCATCTGATTTACTTTTTCTTCCTGCTGTTGATCTTTGAGGATAGCCATAGGAGGTGTGTCTAATATGCAATGTCCTCCATTTGCCTTTTCAGGTACCACTGTGGAATCAAGAATTACTGGTGTCCCAGAAAGTTCCAGCCCAGGTAATGGAAATGATTGACTCAAGTGAAGTTTACGTGCTCAACATTCCTGTCTCCTTTAACACCCAAATGTTTCAGATAACCAGATTATCTCTATGAATGAGTATCCAACTTGAACTGTAAAAGAAAAACTGTACCAGATGGGGTTAAATAGGCAAGAAAGACTTTATTTAAGATTATTGCAGTAGGGATCAAAACCATTGCAACAGAGGTGAGATTTTGAACTCAACTCTGCTGAAATAAAAGGCAAGAGAGTTTTAAGCACTGGGATGAACTAGTAGAAAAGTACTGGAGGGTTAGAGGACAAGTTGGTCTATGTGATTAGGCCATCTATATTTGCTAATTGGTGCTTATAGAATGAAGTTAGGCTCCTACTTAGAGATAGGGAGATAGGCATACTATTATTCTTGATGATTACATTTCAAAGAGGTGGCTCCCAGGTCTTTGAGAAAGACATTCCTGGATTGTAAAACTGGCCAGAGTCTGAGGGAAGATTTACAGCTCAAAGGGGCAGAGAAAGAATTTATAATTTCAACTTTTCTAAAGTAAATGCTCTAGGAAAAGGGAGTCCAGGGACCTATAATCAATAAGAAACCTATCTAAAGTTTAGTCAAGCTGAGGGGAACGTTAAGGCTGTCATGATCAACAGGAATGTTTTCCCATTTTCTCAAACTCTATTACAACTTCTCTCTCAAAAACTAATACAAGAGAACCAGGAAACCAAGTTATTGGAAGTAAAAGACTTAAGTGTGAAAAAAGTTCTTGCCATTTAGAAAAGGGGGACCATAAGTGAGAAATTCCCAAGGTCATAGAAAATATTCTATTCACTTCTGTGAGCAGGGAGTTGCTAAGATAGGGGCCTCTCATGTTTCAATGACAGGAGCATGAACTAGCATCTGTAGATAATGTTAGTTCACTCCAGGTGCTTTGAGGCCTGTTCCATGTGGAGATGTCTTAAGACATGCTCTTCTGAGACAAGAACAAATTCATTGCTCTTCCTCTACTCATTTTAGGAACCTCCAAGGAAGCATCTGAAACAACTATTGCTCCTGGAATTTCTACCACAGGTAAATCAATTAATAACAACTTTGCTTGGTGGCATCTCAGAAGACAGGACAGCATATCTGAAGTTAAACTCTGGCTTCTCCCCTATACTCACCACTTTCATTCCTCCCTTAACAGTCCCTGCTTCCTTAGGAATCAAGGAAACCTCTGGAACTGAAATGCAAATAGATGAATGCTGGCAATACAAACTCTTCAATGATCAGTGTGTCTGTGATTATGTATAAGAAGTTGAGTTTGGGGAAGAGATGTGGTGGGGAAGAAACACGAGAGATAGGCCAGGAAGATTATGCTAAATTTCCTTTTGGAACATGACTTTGAAGTTCAACTAGGGATAGTTTTTTTCTCTAGGATTTTCTGGGTTAGGCTTTCACCAGAACTCCTCTCCTGAAGACTTAGCTAAGCAGTGAAATCTCTGAGAATGAGATTATGAAATGTGCTATTCCCCCAATTTTTTTATGTTTCCTTTTGCAGGCTCCACCTCAGTATCAAATGGAATGACAAGAAGCCCGGAAGTATCCTACCCAGGTAAAATGAAATGACCCTAATGTACTGGAATGAATTGTCTGTTCCACATGAAGCTTTCCTTGAGCGTGAATTTGTGCAACCATTTGTGCATGCACACACATAGAGACTTGATATGTGTACGTGTTATTCTAATAAATAAAATGACAATGCCATCCTTTTGTTTCTCTTAGAAACCACTGGAGCAGCAACAGGAAATCAAGAAACTGAAAATAAGACAGGTCAGTATGGGAAGAGCCCTAATTTCTTTGTTACTTATTCAACTAATATTTCTTTAATATCATGTATGTGCTAGACTCTGCAGCAGACAATAACAGCAAAAATGTCAATAAAAAACAGGCTTTGTCGTTTTATTACTTTGTGTGTGTGTGGAGGGGGAGAGATGATTACGGGCACAGATACTATCATTACAGTATATTTAATGTTAACCCCAAAACTTGTACAGTTCTGGTCCTGGGGGTACAGTGAGAATAGAGTGTTAATTTCTGCTTGTTAGTTGGTAGTGTTGAGTGAAGGCATCAGAGAAAAGATGATTGAGTTTAATATTGGCTGGGGTAAGGAGGGAATTCCTGCCAAACAGTCCTCAAAAAGACAGAGACATGAGACAGCATGAACAAGTTCAGGAGTCAACCAGATATTGGTAATGGATATGAGGTTCGGGGAAGAAATGAGATTAGAGGTAAATTCATGAAGGACCTGTTTCCAAACTTAAATGAGACTTTATCCTGATAGTAAGTGGGATCTCCTTAAAGATTTTATTAAGAGAATAATATGATCAGGTAGATGTCTTAGACCAGTTACTCTGATACCAATGTGGAGAATATGAGATTTTGTGGCTATTTTATAGCTCCTCTTAAGAATTTCTTCAGTGAACATTTGGAATTCTGGCCAGGGAAGATTTTTATGCTGTATTTATGCATAATCATTTCTCTCTCCTGTTGCTGGTTTCTGCTAATCTGCTAAGCATTCATAATTGGGGATTAACCTAGCCTCCCTCAGGAAAGAGAAATATTTCATCCCCCCAACTCCCACGTCTTTAATTGATTTCTTTTTTGTCCTTCTGTAGCTATTAATTGTTGGAGTCCCTTTACCTAAACTTATAGAAATTTTAAGTTCCTCTTAAATATTTTGTTGCTCCTACCAAGCCTTTTACTGGGTAGCTAGGATAAAAATATTAATCTGATTTTTAGCAGTTTGGAAATAGAATTTGAAATTTGTGAGTGGAATGTTGGGTTGACCAAGATATAGCTTGTGTATACGTATTACAAAAGATATGTAATGTGTGAAGGCTCAAAAAAAAAACATATGAGCAGTTTAAAGCATTTGGTGGGGGTGGAGATAGAACAAGATTGAAGTATGCCAAAAAGACAAAAAGAGGATAAAAATTCTTAAATTAAACTAGGTGAATAGTAATACTTATATTTTTCCTATATCTGAATTATCCTTTTCCTTGTTTGATTATATATTTTATTGTCTTATTCATCAGAACTATCTTCTAAGAAAATTTTGAAGAGACGTTTACCTTGATTCTCATTTCTTCTTTTGATTCTCATATTTTTCTCCCATTAAAATTTGAGATCCAAAGGAAACGCTTTCTAATGATAGAATTTCAAAAGCCATGAGGAGCACAAAGGGAAGATAGATGGCAATATGTCTGTTTGTAAGACTAGCAATTTAGCCGATTATTTTCAGCAAATAGAAAACTACATTTACGCCGTAACTATTCCAATAGCTTTAGAGACTAATTTAAGGTGTCTGTTTTTACACAGGATGTCCAGCACCTCTCCCACCACCTCCGGGTAAGATTACTTCCACTTGAAAACCAATCGTTCTGCATTAATGGTTCTTCTTGTAAATCAGATTTCAGAGGTCATGCCAATAAAAGTTGCTAGCTATGGAAATGTTATGAATAAGATAATTTGAAGTGGATGAATTTAGCTTTTACTCACCAAATAGTGAATGGATAGTCTGTTTTCTCACACACAAACTAATGAAGCCAAACCAAACAGAAGCATCTTGTTACTTAGTCAAAATAGAGTTTACCTACTAAATAAAGTGTTTCATGTACTTGTATGATATATTGATCAAAATATTGTCACTTGATAGTATTTTTTAAACTAGATAATGCCAGCTTTTTTAAAGGACTGAATTGTAGCAGGAAAAATTAAGGTTAACCAGAGTTCAATAATTTTAGAAGACTTTGAGTTCTTACTATTCTCAAGGCAGTGTGATGGGCTTTATAGAAAGTGGCAAAAGTTACCAAAAAAATCATTCTCTGATCTTAGGATATAGTGGGAGAAGGGAGATTTTCAAAGAAACATAGGCAATTTTCATGTAAGGCTGAAAATAAATTTCACAGTAAAAATGTGAAGTGTGTATTATAGAGAGTACGTGTTATGTGCCACATGTGTTACATATATTGTATACTTTGGAGGGATACTCAGGTATTTCATTACAGAATTAGAATTTGAGAACAATACCTAGCATAGTCCGGGGTATGTAAATGAGAGAAGTAAGACATGGTTGAGAAGGTAGATTGTGGCCACGTTACACAGACCTTAGAAGCTGGAATGCTCAAGTAAGGTATTTATTTTACAAGACTATCGGGGCCATCAAAAGTTTTTAATCAAAGCAATGATGAGATGAAAATTAGGCTTTAGGAAAATTATTCTACCTGTGGTATAGAGAATTGATTGGATCAGGAAGAGGTCTGAGTCAGAGTAACCCCTGAAAAAGTCAGAGTATGCTAAATCAAAAGTAATAAAGTCCTGGAGTAGTATTGTAGCAAGTAGAACCAGGAAAGGAAGGGATGCAAGTGAGGATGAAGATATGGGATTTTGCTGCAGATTGGATGCCAAGTGATGGAAATGAAGTAATCAAAATGACTCCTAAGTTTTAAGCTTAAATAATTGAACAGTTCAGTCTTTAGCAAGAGCAAGCCAGTTTAGGTAAGAAACTGGTTTTAGGGGCAAGATGATACAATCTGTTTTGTGAGCAGTGAGTCTGAGGTTCTTATAGATCTGCCAGGATGCTATTAGGCCAAGGGAGACGTGGGTCTATAGCTCACAAGAAATGTCTGGACTGGAGCTAGAAGTTCGAGAGTCATCCACTTGATATTACAGTGGACATTGTGGAGATGGAGGAAAGTACCAGAGGAAAGACTAGAAACAAATGAGGGAGAGGAAGAAGAGCTGCTGATAGAGAAATTTCAGAGTGTTAAATCTGAAGGAAGGAGAACATTCTCAAGGTGAGAGTTAAAAATGTCAACCAATGTACGAAACTTGAAAAACTGAGACAGGGCCCTTGGGGCTGGTAATTATGAAGTCTTGGTGACTTGTAGGATTATGGAGGCAGAACTCAGCCTGAAAAACAGTAAGCAAAACAGTAGCCATAAGATGTATTGACCATGCCAAGAGAAATCAAGAATTATCTTTTGCTGGGGATTATAAAAATAGGAAATATATATATGCTGCTTAGGGACAATTTGCTCGAAGCAGGTAGGCGTGATTTATCCACCTTAAGTCACCATGCAGTCTTCCATAATTTTGTGTCTCTGAAATCCCAGTGCCAATTACAGTATTGGCCACCTGGTAGTTATCTACAAATAACAGATGGTTATATTTTGCCAAATTTAATTAGCGTTTATCATTTCATGTTAACAGTTTGCCATGGTCCACTGGGAGAAGAGAAATCTGTAAGTACACAGTTTTTCTCTACTTTAATCCAAATTTGCTGTTATTCTTGTATTTAAATGGAAGTCTGAACTTGGTTTGTATCTGTAGCCTGGAGACATTTGGACTGCCAATTGCCACCGATGCACCTGTACTGACGCAAACACTGTAGACTGTGAACTCCAGGAGTGCCCTTCTCCACCCACATGCAAAACTGGAGAGAGGCTTGTAAAGTTCAAAGCTAATGATACCTGCTGTGAAATCGGATACTGTGGTGTGTATTCATAATACATTATTGGAATTGAATTGAATAGTTGTTCACTTATTCACATATTCAAGAGATATTTATTGAGCTACTAATGCGTATGAAACACTATGCCAGACAGGCGTGATAAATAAAACAGAACCAGTACTTGCCTTCTTAAAACTTACTATCTTTGGTGGTGGAAACTTCAAATTAACAGTTATGAATATGATCAGTAGGTTAAAGGGAGGTGATGTTGTTATGGGAAGAAACATTATAATTGGTTAATAAATATGAACACATATATAATTTCTGTTTTCTAAATAAAAGAAGCATTATATGCTTATTTTAGGATAAAATAATGTATTTATTTTTCAGAACCAAGAACATGTTTATTTAACAATACTGACTATGAGGTAAGGTCGTTTCTACTTTGAAATATTTTTATTAATATAATTATGAATAAAAGCAGGCTCTTTCAGCTTATGATATGAAAAAATCATAGGTAAAGGAGGAGCAGAATCTGTTCATTTTTTTTCTGTATTCATTTCAAAAAGAACATCAAATGTAACACTCAGCATGGCTCTCTTCAAAGGGGGAAAATATGCTCCATCGTTAACTACCTAGCAATGGAGCTTCTGAATAAAATTCCCAATGGGTCTCACCAGATGGAGAAGACACATTTGTAACATACAAATCAATGAAAAGAGTTAAAACTGTAATTATAACGAGAAAGATCAGAAGGCCAAACTGTCAGAGATCAAAATAAGAAAACCCAAAAGACTAGAGCCCCATTATGTGGATATAGCATCACTATATATCCAGGGCTGGATTTTGACAACTGATTTGGCATTTTGGAAAGTAGTTTAACTTTTTAGGAAAAGTATCAGGAACTCATAAAAACTAGATGATTTTCAAATTAGTATTAATACATTTGAACTAGTGGTGCTAAATATTTAAAAATCTAAAATAAAATATGTGGTGTGTTAGGAAATACATAAAACAGAGCCTATGAGAGCTTTAATTTGATAACTCTTTTATCACACTCAAATTTCTATCTGTGCTTATTAATTTTTGGTTTCCAAAGGTGATCTGACTTGAGACTCTATAAAAAAAATATGGTGATGTTTAAAGAACAAAGGAAAAGTTTTACCTCAATCATTTGTACGCAAAATAGTTGAAATAATAAAATTCCGGTTTTACCAGAAAGTTCATTTTGTGGTTTGAAGCCCTGAAATAAATACAACTTCCCAAACTAGTGTTTGAATTTTGAACATAAATTAATTATGTATAAAGCAATCTAGAGAACTTTTAAAGTACAGGAACACAAGCAAAGATAGAAGGAAGATGTCTTGTGGGACTCGTCATTTGTGCTAATCCCTAAACTTATTTTGTGCCATTTTTTTCCACTTAGAATTCTTATTTGTTTTTCCTCAGACTTAGAGCATAATAATTGGTCAATTACCTGCTCACTACAAAATAACCTTTCCTGAAAATACTTGAAAAATATAATAGGGTAACTGTAGGTGAATCTTTATTTGAGGATTGAGAATCTTGACACATTTTGTGCACTCAATGAGAAATTTTGATTTTTTATGGAAGTAAAAGGCCTTCAATCCACCTTTTCTTAAATATTAATCTATTGGCTGAAAGCACCTCTGGAAATTTACTAAACATTATGAATCTGAACTTTTTTTTTACAGGTTTTATTGTCAACCTCAAAAAGAAATCAAGGTGAATAATTATTTTGTTCTCTCCCCTTCCTTACCTCCCAGATTGGTGATTCATTTGATGACCCCAACAACCCATGCATCTCCTACTCCTGCAATGACACTGGTTTCGTTGCAGTGGTCCAAGACTGCCCAAAGCAGACCTGGTGTGCAGAAGTAAGTCATCTTCTTAAGTAATGAACAAGATTCACTTCTCATGTTAAATGCATACGCGACCTGTCATCTTTTTCATTTGGAAGTTTGTGTCTGGCCGATAGATATAAATCTCTTGTAGATTCCGTTTTAGACATGTTGTCAACCTTTTTGCCAAGTATATTTTTCATATCAAAGATATATTTACAGGCTCTATAAAACTTAATCTAGGGGTATTCTAGAAGAAGTAAGTAACTGTAGAAAGCATTTTTTTTTATTTTTAAACAAACAAAAAGATTATTTTTTCAAGGCTCATGGATTCAAGTTAATCATTTTCTATAAAAATACAAATTTTTTATATAATCATATATATGTGTACTGTTCAGATCTTTCTTTGTGCCACAATCTTCATTTTTATCCCCCCAAAATATGGTGTGGGTTTTGTATTAATGAATGCTTAAGTTTAAATTATTAAGGAAGGTTTAAGCTTAACTAATTTTCCTTTCTGAAGAAATAATTGATGCTATAGAGTTTTATTTTAAAACTCCAATATTGGATTTCAACACTTGTTGAGTTTTTACTTTGAGACATTGATGGGTTTGAGATTATAATAATGTATAAGGTAAAAATCCTGCCTGTGAGAAACTTACAGTGTCTAGTAGTAATGTCATTATTAAAGTATTTTTCAATTAAAATGAGTAATATTTTTTTGCATTTTACTTTAAAAAAAGATTTAGTTTAAATATTGTTTTTTACTTTCTACCCACTGTTGAAAAAATTTGGTGTAAATACTGTCTCATTTTTATTACTACGCTCTCCCATCTGTGCTTATTCAATCTGAGATCAAGATGTTCATTGGTTCCATTTCCTCCTTTGTGATGCTATTTCTGTAAGTTAAGAAATGTTATATTATTTATAGAAAAATACAGAAGTTTTTAAATCTTTTTTCTTTCCCATATAGGAAGACAGAGTCTATGATTCAAAAAAATGTTGCTATACATGTAAGTAAAATTAAGCTCCACATGTAGAGGAAATATAAACTGTTGACAAAAATTTAGTGTATCTTTAAAACAAAATGGCAGATCATTAACAGAAAGTCTTCTGTGTTTTTAACACAACAGGTCATCTAACTTATATGCGTACACTAACAATTGATATTAGTACATAATGTATTATAGTTACTTATTCATGTTGGTTGCAACATTTTTCCCAGTAAAAATCACTGATGTGTAGAAGGAAGAAAATTTAATTTTCATGGAAAAAATTTAGCATGCTCTTCTAATATCAGAAAGTTATGTTGTAAATTGGTATATTAGATCATAAGGATGATCAACAATGAGAAACAACCTGTCAAAAACAAGCTATGCCCCTTTGTCTTCCCTTCCATCCCGTCTTCCTTACTTCTTCCTGCTCCCCTGTTCCTTTCCTCCTCCTCCTTCTTTCCCTTTCTCCTATGATAGCAATAATAGCAATAATATATAACATTTATTGAGTATTAACCAGGTACCTTGTGCTGCATGCTGAGATAGCAATAACGTTGTGAAGTATTTGTTGTTATTATTCTCTACTCTATGGTTAAGAGAACTGCAACTTAGCAACTGACAATGTTAAACCTCATTTCTGACTGTTATCCGTTTCGTTTTAGGTAAAACTAATTGCAGATCTTCACTTGTGAATGTGACTCTTAAATACAATGATTGCAAGAAAAGAGTCGAGATGGCAAGATGCAGAGGGGAATGCAAAAAGACTGTCAAGTGAGTTTTTCTTTGAATGTGTACCGTGTGTTAACGTTGTAACATTGTGGAGGAGATTCAGTTTTTAAAATATTACATGGAAAAATTTTTACATGACAACTAATGCTCAGGATCTGATGAAACTAAAATATTTAAGATCTGAGAAATAAATATTTTCAGTAGTGATGAACCATTTTTAAGTAGTTTTCTAAATATGTCAAACATAATACATTTATGGCAAGTAAATTTATTTTCATACAGTGATTATAGAGAGTACTTAAGCAAATATTCTTGCTTAAAAGTGTGTTTTTAAACTGTCACGTGCGTTTTAGACATATTACATTTTTTTTCCTTTATGTACTTTTTCACATATAGATTAATATATGGAGAAAGTAATTTGGTATTAAGTTGTACATTTAAAAGTATGTTTTATTTTTTTGCACCATAATGCTCTAATTATGAAATTATGAATCTCCACTTTGGATTTCTTTTCTTATTTCTTTTGATCTTACATACCAATTATCACTGATCCACATCAGAAGTTTACAGTGAAGGGGGAGATGCAAGGTGTAGGAAAAGAATAAATTTGTTGGAAAAGTTGATAAATCATTAGACAATTAGAAGTTGAGCATTGATGTCAATTTATTTCAAAAGACATTCCAAAAATATTTATTACTGAATTTTCCTTTTTTTAGGTACAATTATGATATCTTGGAAAATTCATGCCTCTGCTGCCGAGAAGAAGACTACGAATTCAGAGACATTGTTCTTGACTGTCCTGATGGCAGTACGATACCTTACAGATACAGGCACATCACAACGTGTGCTTGCTTAGACATGTGCCAACAATCTATGACCACAGTGGCCAGTTAATGTTAACATTACCTTTCCAGTTATAACGCGCCAAGTATTTATTTTATAAGCGAACAAAAATAATCACTCGATAGTGAGAGTAACTAAACAGTTGTATCTCCCTCAAAAAGTGAGTTCTCATTATGAGGCATTTTGTTCTCTTGTTGACTGAATTTGAAAAATAAATACAACTTTGCAAGTGATTAGTGAGCACATGTATTTATTTTATAGCAATAAGAATTCTGCAAGTCAAGGAGAAACTGAGTCATATCATGGCTCTCCAGTATATTCTGCTTCTACTTCTACTCTGCATCTGATGAGGCCACTATGCTGTTTTATTCCTTCCCTTCATAGCTAACCTATTGAAAATGTAGTTTTTGTTCTCTTTTCCTACTTCTCTATGCCAGTTATCACCCCTTCATTCTACGGCAACTCCCTCTGCTCAGGACACCAGTGGCTCCTTATAATTCTTTCTGTAGGGTCTGACATCATTTCCACTCTTCCTTTCTTGAAACATTTTTCTTGCTGTTTCTGTGACATTATTTTTAATTAACACTTCTGCATTTTGTGGACACCTTTACTTTTGCCAGTCCTTTAAATCTCAGTTCTCCGTAGTTGCATCCTGTCCCTCTTCTCATTTTACTCAGGCTCCTTAGACAATTTCATTAACACGGGTAGATATGCTTATACACTGAGGATTTCCAATTTATATTTCCAGCCCTAACTTCTCTGAATTAGAGATGCACTGATACAACTCAGAATTTACACTGGATGTTCTATAGGTACCACAAACTCAACAAGACCAAAATTAAACTAAATGTCATTCCCCCTAACCCACTCCTCTATTTGTATTTTGTATACCCATTGAGGTAGCTAGAAGGAGAAGTTGAGGTTCAATACCATCATGACTGTCATCTTCAGTACATTCTACCACTTTGCAGCCTCACACACACATCCTTTTTCCTATATGTATATTTCCAAATGTGCCTTGTACAACATTATTTACATATGTAAAACATGTACATTTATTAACCCTCTTATTCCCTTCCCAAACCCAATTTATTATAACCCATTTATGTACTACTCACTTTTTTACATTATTTGGACTACTGGTAAATTTAGCCATCATCAAACACTGTGTGTCCAATGGTGGGGGAAGAAAATTGATATGTTAGCATATTGTTAACTGCCCACAAAACGTGGATAATAAATAAACACAGGTAGATATTATGGGTCTTACTTCTACAGTTGGTCCCAAGGCCTTTTACTTTCGTCCATGTCTGTCACTGGTTCCAGCTTTTTCTTTCTCTCAGTCAATACCAGAGTTTGTCACTTGGCAAAATTATGAGGAGTTTGAGCCCTTGAAAATCCAAATGGATGAGACTGCATGAGTTTTCAATACCTTTTACCTCAAGGAATGATAAAACATGGAGTCAACAATGCAACTACATCTTAGTTCTTACCGTGTGGCAGTAACTCTATTTTCCCTTGATAGTCAGAATTGATCATCCCAGACAATATAATGACATCCTTTTCTGCTTAGAAAAGCTGCTCCAGCGTTGCAAAAGACCCAAAATCACTAGCAAGGAGTTTCAGCAAATGGGAGAGAATGTACATGTTGATTTGTGTTTTAGCTAATATATGGCATCCCACAATCAGCATACCAACCACACAAGTAGTATCCCTTAGCTGGTGTCGCAGCAGAGTTCTCAATAGGCCAATCTTTAAGGTCTACCATCTATGAATAATAAGACAAAATAAAATCATTGATGCTGTATGTACCTATTGGCTTTCCTTTGTCATTTTGAAACAAATTCTTTGATTGGAAGGAGTGCTGTGCAGCATTTCATGGTAGTGAATAAAATATTCATTAAGCCCATGGATAACAGTACTTCCTGAGGCATATTAGACACAAAAAGAAAATCCAAGTCAATAATTGTTTATATCAGAGAAAACAAGTACTGTCATCTCCCCATCAGAAAAGGATCAAAGTTGTCCACTTGTTACCAAGTGGCTGACTGGTACTCCATGATGATGCCAAAAAGGAAGATCACTTTATTGTTGGCATTATGGAATTCATCCTGGCTTCAGTGGAGGAAATTTAGGCTTTTGAGCCCATATGTGACCTCCATCCCTACCATAATTGCTACTTTACTCATGAACCTCATTGTTGGAGGAGGTCATCGAGAGGACATGACTGCCAATTGACCCACAAGCTGAACCCAGGCAATCAGAGGCTCCTTACTCTCTCCCCTGTCTTTGGAATATGTGTTCTGCTTGCCTTTCCCACACTACAAGTTACCTCAGTGACACAGCCTTGAAATAGTAAGGTGTTGTTGAGACCATCTGGACAGCATACATGACAACCCAGTTAAGGCCTCTATGTAAACCTTTAAGATTCTGGTGGGTGAGTGTGGAGATTTACTCATCTTGTGGTTGCCCAAGACAAGCCTCATAAGTAAGTTCCTTTGCTTATTAAAATCTACCACCTACCAGGCCGGCCCCGTGGCTTAGTGGTTAAGTGCGCGCACTCCACTGCTGGCGGCCCGGGTTCGGATCCTGGGCGTGCGCCAACGCACCGCTTCTCCGGCCATGCTGAGGCCGCGTCCCACATACAGCATCTAGGATGATATGCAGCTATGACATACAACTATCTACTGGGGCTTTGCAGGGGAAATAAATAAATAAAATTAAAAAAAAAAAAATCTGCCACCTACCAATCTGAAGTGGTCTGCCTCTTTCTTCAGTCTCTCCTTGCCCTCTGTGTACAGGGGCCAATTTATGAACAAACACTCATTTAGCAACTGCTGGGCAGGATAAGAAAGACGACATACTGACAACCACAAACTGTGACAACCACAGTTAACACATATTGTTTATTACCTGATTCTCCCATGAAAATCCCTAGTGAGGAACCTCTGGTAAGCACTCACTCGCTTATGTTCAGACCTGGATTTATTGTAGGTGACCCAAATGATTTCTCTAAACCTTTGTGTCATCCTGCAATTTTGCTCCTTTCAAGTCCTTGGTTATTTATGTAAATTGTTGGCTACTTCTCAGGAATCAGTGTAAATCCTGACTTCAAGCCAACCTTCTACCAAGCACAATAGCCAATGAGAAATTTCCTTACTAGTTGTCTTTCATGTCTGTGCCTGAGATAGGCTATATGCCACACAGCTTGCTTTTTACTGATACTGGGGTCATTGGTAATTCAGCCTTGAGTCTTTTCCTCTCGTATTGACTGGTCATAAGCAAGTCCGCCACAGGCAAAATGCATAAATTCAGAGAAATGTGGCAGCCAGCTAGGTGGTAGGACATTGCAAGAATTAAGAAACCATCTCATGGTTCTGACATTTGTCTTTGAGACCTGAACGGGGCATGGGCCCATGCTGTATATGTGACTTTTTGATTGTTAGTAGATTGCTTCTGGGAATGCCTAACTTAATTGCTATATAGATAAGCTAATACCCAGTCCAGGATGAGTTGCTTTGGTTCATGGCTACCTGTTATTTCCAGATAGCAGTAGAAACCAGTATTTGTTAAAATAGAATAGCTACTCCAGAAGATAGTGTGGGCTTGCTCCAAAACCCCAAAAGCCTCTATTGCTATGATAATACTAGAACCTGTCATTGGCTCCAAGAAATTTTATTTTTCTGCTATAGATTCTCCCAAAATCATTGGATCAGCCAGATCATAAGAATAAAAAGTCAAGGCAGCTTTTATTGAAACCTTGACAATTCAAGCAGCAGGTTTTTTTGGTCAAAGTTCCTCTAAAGTTAGAAATTTTTAGGTCATCCAGTAAATGAACCTAAGAAAGACATCTATATATGTTTCATGATATTTCCAAAATCCAATGGGTCTATTTTGTAGTGTAGGGGAACAAAGGGCAACAGCATATCCTTCACTTTGGGAGTGATAGCCCACCATCTCTATATTGTTAGGAATTAAACTGATTACAGAAAACTCAAAAAACCACTGACTCAAAAAAAGATAGGAGCCGGCCCCCGTGGTGTAGGGGTTAAGTGCACGCACTCGCTGCTGGTGGCCCGGGTTCGGATCCTGGGCGCGCACCCTCGCACCGCTTGTCAGGTCATGCTGTGGTGGCGTCCCACGTAAAGTGGAGGCAGAGCGGCAGGGATGTTAGCCCAGGGCCAGTCTTCCTCAGCGAAAAGAGGAGGATTGGCATGGATGTTGGCTCAGGGCTGATCTTCCTCACAATCAATATTTGCAAACAAAGCTCTGGGGCCCATATTGTTCCATTCAGTAACAGTAATGTCTAGAAGAGCAGCTGCAAATTCAGTCATCACTAAATTAAGCTTATTGTGAGGGATACTTTGATGCACTGCCCAGATTCCCCTTTAGAAATAAAAGATTTATTGTCCCAGCTTTTGAGACTGCTGCCAGAAGATTGCTTTCAGCTGTTAGCCTCCTTCGGGGATTGCCTTAGCTAAAGAAAACCTTATTGCTTAAAGTCATGTCCCCTTCAGGGGAAAGAGGAGCATCCAATGACTGATGGGGGGTAGTACAAAGGTTTGGCCCCCTCACTCCAACTTACTTCCACTGAAGATGCATAATGGCTTGACTTCTCCCTCTACCTAATTTTGCTTCCTTCCTTCTCTTCCACAAATTTGGATTCCAAGAGCATTCTCTAATAAACCTCTTGCATCTTAATATCCATCTCAGAGTTTGCTCCTGGGGATCCCAACCTGTGTTACTTATGGGAATTTAACATCATTTTCTAGGGGTCATCGATTGCTTATAGCATTCATGCCTGAAAATTGAATGGGGAAACATGCAGAAATGAGCCTATCTACGCCTCTTGTCTTTGATGGTGGCTTTAAAATGAGCTAAACATATGAATCCTCCACCACTGCCTCTATCTCTCATTCCCTTCCCGTTCCCCTTATATAATTAAAAAAGAGGGGCCGGCCCAGTGGCTTAGCGGTTAAGTGCGCGTGCTCTGCTACTGGCGGCCCAGGTTCACATCTCCGGCGTGCACTGACACACCACTTGTCAGGCCATGCTGAGGCAGTGTCCCACATAGAGCAACTAGAAGGATGTGCAAGTATGACACACAACTATCTACCGGGGCTTTGGGGGAAAAAAAAAGGAGGAGGAGTGGCAATAGATGTTAGCTCAGAGCTGGTCTTCCTCAGCAAAAAAAG